GCGGGAAATCATTTTTCAAACAGAGTAGAGAGATACAAAAATATTAAAACCAGTATTTGTGGGAGTCCTTAAATGAAATAGAAACAAATCAAGAAAAAGTAGATGCATTAACAGCATTGTGAATGTAAATGAACGAATATTTACTTATCATTCAGAATCAGTTATACTGAAGGCTACAGTTTCAGATGATAGATGTTTTAACCCGTGAAGAATCAAATTCTAACACATACCACCAACACCATTATAATTAGATCTTAATCACAAGTAAAAAAGAAAAATGTATATAAACATATATATGATGTGTACATATACACATATACGTACAAATGCACATTAAATAATTTTTAAAAATTTTTAAATGCACATTAAATTAATAAATTTGTGTTAAATCCTGTCGTATAGAGTGAATTATCAATAACTTCAGGTTAACAATTAATTGTGGTAAGACTGCAGCAAGCAATTCCAAGCATAAAGCTTCCCATAGATCTGCATTCCATTCCCCTACTATGGGGAAGAAAAAAACCTACACAAAACACCAGATAAGGCCAGAGCATTGAAATGGATTTTGCTAACCTTTTTCTTATGGTGAGCTCTTCAAATTTCTGCCCAATCGTAACAGTTGCACATATAACCTTATCCAGTCTTTTATACTGCATCTTCATAACTTGTTTGATTTACAATAATGTTTCTAGTACATTATAAAAGCGTAAAATTTTTAGAAAGTAAATTAGAAGCCTGGATTATTACGAGTTTTGTGTTTGTTTTGAAAGGTGTGGAAAAAGCAAGTGGGCCAACAGCAAAAAGCAATTCAGAAGTGTTTCTCTAACAAGCTTTCCTTCTCCAGCTCCATTTACAAAAAAAAAAAAAAACAAAACCCAAATGCAAATCAAGGCGGCTGTAGAATGAATTTTTATCTGGAGGATGATTGGTAAGGCAACAGACTGAAGAGGAAGACACGTACAGCCATTCTATGAAATCACAAAGAATATCGTTGATGGCCATCTGAAGTATTTTGCTGTGATACTACTGATCCTCAGAAATTAAAACAGAAGAATAATCTTCTGAGTGATATGTTTTCAATTTAAAGTAAAGACTTGCATTTAAAACAATCTAAATCAAGAGTAGATGTTTTTGTAAATAAGCAGTGTACCTACAAGCCAACCCATGACATACAATATAAGTACATGTGCATACATGCATCTAACAGGCTATAAAGCATGGGCTTTACAGTATCTTCTGAGTATAATCTAGCACTTATATATGGATATCCATATATACGGATATACACTTTTTACATAAATGGCAGGTGCACTGCTGTCAGTGGTGTTATGAAACACTACTAGTCTCAGGTGGCCATTCGACAGTCTACACACTGAACAAGCCAGTTAAAGTACTTTATCCAGCTTAAACTGCTCCGGTGACAACAGTCCACATCTCCCTAACCTTTTTTTGTGAGGAACACTTTCAGGAAGGGAGAAACAGACTGAATGGTCAACCGTTCTATGTATGCACAGTACACTCCGTCAGTTATACAGGGAGAGGTTATGCTGTCTGATCCTTTCCCACTACCAGTATCCAAGTAACACAAATGTGAAAGTCACATATGCTCAAAGCTATCAGTTAAGGCCCTCCAAATTTTAATATTGGGAATAAAGGCAGAATCAGTTTCCTCTTCCTCCACAGTTTTTGAAGGAAGTCTTGCTGTACTAAGGAAGTATACAGCCTGTATTGCCAAGGCACAAAAAGGTCAAACTGGACCCTTTTATGCAATCTCTAAGCAGAGTATACATCTGAAAAAAATCAAGTTAACTTCAAGAGAGAGAGATCTGACTGACAGGAAGAAAACTTAGAGAAAATCTGATTAACTGTTCGGAACTGTAAATTCATCTTACGTGTGACTCCTCTTCAGCAAGAGTTTTCTTCTATTTTGTATATGATGAATTTGAACTGTGAGTGAAGGGATAACTTTTATAAGCGCATTAATGCCAGCAAAGCAATAATATTAGAAGCTACATCTCACTGATAACACAAAGCAAACATCATCACTTCTTCAGTATTGCTAAAAGCAACACCTTCTCAAATGCATTTTGTTCCACAAGAACTAATTAGTTTTTTCTCTTCTCCTTCATGAAGGAGCTGTTATTTATCATAAAATTGGGGAATTTCCCAGCACCGCAACACAACCTTCAAAAAAATCCCAACTGTTCCAGTTTCTCCATACATACTTTAAATATCTTTTCTTAAGGTAATGTCCACTTTTACTTACCATCATAAACAAAGTAAGTTCCATCTTTGAAGACCACAACAGCAGGGAATTCAGGTAATGTCACATACTGAAAGAGATGGTTTTCAATTAATCCATGGAAGATTAAAAGATTTTTAAACAAACAAACAAAAATCTTAAAATGTGAAAATGTAGTCCATGGGGAAAAAATCTCAAAGTACATTTAAATGTTTTGTCTACATTTACTAAATAAATTTATCAGCTTCTGCATATTAAAAAGTAACACAACAAATGTATTTTGAGAGGCAGGTCTCACAAAGTGTAAATGAAGCAGGATTTTTACTAGTATCTGCAGTAGCATGGAGAGTATTTTATTGGTTGGACATGAACTTTAGACAGACAATCATAACTTGAGGGTTTTATCAATCATGCTTTTTGTTCCCAATTTGTGCTGTTGTCAGCATACCTGTCATACCGTTACTTCTACTCAATGGACAGTCAATATTGTAAGAGTAAAATAGTAACATTGATAACATGTCCCACTAAATCTGGGCTATTTCCTGTAGTTCAGGCTGATGGGAATATAAAGACACAGCTTCAGCAGACAGGGCTGCAAATAGCCCTAACTTAGGCAAACAGAACAATGAATGCCTGCATTACCATCCTAAACATGATATTTAAGATGGTCAGCAACATACTCAAAAAAAATACAAGGTCGAGAAACCTTTCCCTTGGAATCTTTCCCTTGGACCCTTTACCTTGGAAACCTTTCCCTTAAAAGAATCTTATTCAACTCATGTTTTCAGTAAACTGCCACAGAAGAAATATTGCATCTACTCCTTACTGCTTGCTACCATTCTAAGTTAAAAATCTAATAGCATTTGTGGTTAAGAAAGGACTGTATCATGAGTTTAGTTCTGACGATGATGTTGGCTGAATTGTCCAATTTACTGATATGTTTGGGAAACGTAAGAACACTATCATGAGTGCTTTTCCAAAAGACATGCCTTTTGTAATCATTCTGCATTATCTTTCTTGGACTTAAATGTAAAAGCAGTAGGTTTATAATGTAACAGCTCATATGAATGAGCAAGGAGGCGGCGATTCGAGATGACGCTTTATTCTCTTATTTGCCCAAAATATAGTTTAGCACCTTTAAAGGGCAAATCAGTCTATGTACAGCTTATGGCTTGCAAAAGATGCCTGAAGCTTGGAACAAGATTACCTAAAGTGACAAAGCAAAGCCTAACAGTGAATACTGTCATGCAAAGCCTCATTACAACTAGCAATCAATGATTTCATAACATTTTTGCTTCTCTCCATAGAATATTGCACACCATCACTACTTCAGTTTAAATTATATTTGTGGGAAATTACATTTGGTGGGAAAAACAGCTCACCGTTTACATCACTGATCACAGAATCTCAAAAAGTTCCAGCCTTTTACACTCAGTGTACAGTACTTTTCTTGCTCAGCAGGGGCTGAAGTGCAAATAGCAATACTCAAATTGAGGTAGCTTTTGATACAAGGCTTCTGGAAATCTAACAATACACTATTTATAATCAGGTCAGTTCTACTTATGAAGGAAAATGCAGGTGCCTAAAAAAAACAAATTATGCTAGTTCTCACCCTGCTAATCCCAAATGAATTTCAAAGTCTTGTGTTAGAAGGCATGGAGTAGTCTTGGAGAAAACAATAAACGAAAAAGCCTCTTGATTTTGCTTCAACATGTAAGCAACAATGGTTAGACTAACAACAGTAGCAGCAATTTTTTCCACCCTTGTGACTAACTGTAAATAATTTCCTTGTTACAGAATCCTCCAAAGAGCCACATGAGAATTCTGCAGCCAGTAGACTAGATCGGTTGATCCCTGGGCAGACTAATGTTTTGAACAACTGTATTGCACAAGGTGCAAATAACTTACCTTTTCACTTACTTCTCTTGATTATTAGGGTCCCAGTGGTACTTCATGCCACAGACCCCCAAACTAGTTATAAAAGTGGTTGGTGAAAGGGCTGTCAGGAGCAACAAGAGCTTTGCACTGGCTAAAAATCAAAGTATCTACCTTCTTGAGCAGGTTGTACAGTCCACGTTAAGTTCTGTATATCTTCTGTTTAATTTTATTAATATGACTGAACAAATAATTTGGCCAATACAAAGCAATGACAGACTGAAACTTGGTTTGTATTCTTTCCCCATATAGACTCAAAAATTAAATGTTTCAGTGTAATTACTTTGAAATTTACCAAAGCCAAATATATTGTAAGAAGCCATCTCTGTGCCATCAAAACAGCAAAATTACATATATAAGGAGAGTTATACCATTTATGTGGAAATAGTAGGAACTAAAACAGCTTACCTCAGGCAGCACATCTTCTGAGGCAGAAAAAAAGTATGTATAAACTATTAGTTCTGAAGCAACCTCAACGTATTTTTCCTGCAAAAATACAAATAATGTATTTTTAATTTCTGAACTTTTAGTATGCCTCAAATAAAAGTTTTGTGACATACCTTATCTTCAAAGAGTAATTAGAAAATATGGTTATGACACAAGATTGTAAAAACACTTCAATAAATGTAAAAAAAAAAGATGAGAATTCATTACAAGCATGCACTTCAGTCTTTTAGAAGATACTTTAAACTACATCTGTGAATAGCCAAAAGAAGTAACTTTATTTAATCAAGCTTCAAACCTTTAAAGGAGATTCACCACCAACATACACAAAAAGTACACGATGTCTTCTTTGCACATGCTCGAACATATGCTGGCTAGGAAGTGGCCTGATAAGAGGTCTGGGAGGAGGGAAAAAAGAGAAAGAAAAATGTCAGTTTCTGCAAGCTGCAAAACCCAAACAAATAAAAATCCCCAAGAAAGTGCCATATAATTTTTTGTGTTGTTTTTTTAAAAACTAAATTTCCCAATGCAAACTCATTTAATTTTTCAATTTATTATTTCAGTTTCAATTAAAAGCAAAAAAACTAAAAATCCCACCAAAATAAACTTGTTATGTTCCTCAAATAGCACACTTAAATTTGAAATTAATATCTTAGTACAAAATACTGCTATGATATAAACATGCATGCCATTTACTGGCCAGAGAGTCACAGATTGGGTTGGGTTGGAAGGGACTTTAAAGATCATCTAGTCCACTCCCCCTGCCATGGGCAGGTCCATCTTTCACTAGATCAGTTTGCTCAAAGCCCCATCCAACCTGACCTTGAACATTTCCAGGGATGAGGCATCCACAGCTTCTCTGGGCAACCTGTTCCAGTGTCTCACCACCCTTACAGCAAAAAATATCTTCATTATGTTCAATCTGAATCTACCCTCTTTCAGTTTAAAACCCTTGTCCCTTATCCTGACAGTAGAGGCCCTGATAAAAAGTCTCTCTCCATCTTTCTTATAAGCCCTCTTTATATAGTGAAAGGTCACAATAAGGTCTTCCCAGCCACAATAAGGTCTCAATCATTTGAGAGATAAAATTCTGAATGTAAGCACAGCAGTTAGAAAATGTGGCATTAGAAATACATAATCTTACAAAATTCTGGTAAATTATTAGAGATCAGTGATATTCCTAAACCACAGAATTCTGAACAATAATTAATACTATGTACCTATATGAATGCTTCTTAATTATATTTAAGAATGAAGGAAAGAAACGTGATTCTTTTTTCTCCCCAAAGATTACTGTCTATAACGTTTTGAGGCCACAGGTCACTGTAGGAAAGGAAGAAAAAGCCAACAGAAATTGTTACGAACAATTCTGTGAAAGCAATTTCCTTATGTTGCCAATTACTGCAACTTTTTAGATGCATAAGCATATATTGAACTGATATTTCTAAGGTAACTTTGGAGTATTAAACAGATTCTGCCTTAGTAATGATGTCTATCTATCAGCCAACATTTAGGTCAGTATTCTTGTTTCTGCCTTCCATGATTTTAATTTGTTCATAGTTTCCACTACTTTGAAAAGCCCTTTAGTTCTTGCACTGTAAAGAAGGGATTGTGACTAGCCAGTCTCTACTTACTTTCTCTGAGCCACTCACTACCAGCCTCGCAAGCAACCACATGTATAGTACATATAGTTTTTAACTTCACATCAATGTCTTGTTCTTTTTTAAATAGATTTAATTTTTGGCCCACCTCAAAATCCTACAGAAGTTTTAAGCCACCAGAACCAGTCTCACATACTTACCCTGCCACTCTATTAGCAAATTCAATTATATCATCTTTGGTTCTAGGTCCTCTATAGTTGTATGCCAAGTCACCTTTTAAGCTTTATAAATAGGAAAGACAAAAAAAGAACAGGATTGAAATCAATTAAATTATAGCTGCACATGTAGAATTACTCAATCTTCACATGTTTATTACAGTCACCTTTTAGCAAGTGATAAGCAAGGTGATTTTTCAAATAGATAAAAGAAGTGGTCAGCAAAATATAAAACTCAATAATGCAACACAACGCAATTATGGAGAAAAACTTATTTACACAATCTCTGATTTACTGACTTTTAAAAATAATTAACATTCTTTTACGATTGTTTTTCTAGTGCTCAGCAGTCGTTTACTTTGTAAACACACAGATCACTTGCAACATTTGCTTATGACCACACAAAAAAGCCCATACACCCAAACCAAACCCCAAACATTCAGCATTTATACCACTTAGGGATTAGTCCTTGTAAAAGACAAACATGTAAACTTCTTTAACACTTTTTTATAATGGAAAAGTATCAAATGATCTGCAAAACCTTCTGAATTTATGTATTAAATTAAGCTTCCATGAAGTGTTGGTCAGTTTACTGTACTCTGCTGACAGGGGATGTAGCACACTTGCATTATAAGAATATTCAGGCAAGTTTTACTAATTCTAACAGGCTTTCTTTGAATCCATGTACATTTAGGAAACTCACAGGATAAAAAAAAAAAAACATAAACCCAATCTTCTATGCTTCTATATGCTAATAAAGTTTTTCATCCTTAAAGATTAATAAGCTAAACACCTCTGCCACCTTTTTGAGAAAACTAACTTGACAAGATTTATCACATATTATGAATACTATTTGCTTAAGCAATACTCTGCTAACAAACCTAGTATGTTCATAGTAAAAGTACTGAAAATTTATAAGTCTTTATTTAACATTACCTTGTATTGGACTACACACTATACGTGTTATAAGCAAGTACATATAATATCATTATGGACTGGTATTTTCCTATAAATTTTGTCCTCCACTGATTTTTTTTCATTACATGAAGAAAAAAATCTACATATACTTCTCCTGTCAAACAACTGCTCTCACACTTTACCCTATATAGTAACCACTACTGTCATTTACATAAGATTTTCAGGTACACTGAAGAGAAGAGAGAGGTAATTAAAAATAAGAAAATGCAATCAGCAACTCAGAAAGACTCAGGAAGACTCAGGTATGCATTTACTGCCTGAATCACTCTGAAGGTGTCAAATCAATTGGTGCATGACATTCCTTTTAATAATAATAATTTAA